CTGTTAATCCAGTTCGTAGATCACCACATCAATCAGCAACAGCAAGAGTTCCATACGGTCCACGCCTCTCAGGTGGCTATAATAGATCTGGAAATCGGGTTCCAAGGAACAAGCCTTTCCGCAATGGTGAATTTAATGGGGGATCAGAGTCAGTTCAGCCCTCCAACAATAATGAATCCACTTGCAGCTGAGTTTGTACCTGGCCAACCATGGGTTCCAAATGGCTATCCAGTTGCTCCAAATGGTTACATGGCTCCAAATGATATCACCTTCTCCCCAAATGGATATCCTATATCTCCAAATGACATAGAAACATTACCAAATGGCTTTCCAGTATCCATGAATGGTATGCTGGAGACTCGAAACAGGATTCCATTATCTCCAGTGGATTCGGTATAGTCTTCATTAGTTGCGACTGTTGAAGTTGCAGATGAAAACCAAAATGAAGTTGAAGCAGAGGGGAGTATAGAGGACTCCTCCAGCAACTTGACAGTCATTGCTTCACCAACATTGCAAAATGTACAGGAAGAACCCGGAGTTAGTGAAGTAACCCATTCTGATCAATCAGGAGGCAATGAAAAATCACATTGTGGACCTGAAGAAACACCTACGGATAAAGTTGCAGAAGATAAATGTAATGACATTGCTGTCAAGGAAGAGACAACAAAGCATCGGGGAGATTACAGTGATGGTGAAACTGAGATTGTTCAGGCTACAAGTTGAATGAATATTTTATGTACCTTGCTCATCTTCTCATAGTGAAGAATTCACTGTGAGATCAAAGCAATGACATGCACCTGGATTTGTGGCGATGGGAAATGAATGGGGAGTTCAATTTTTTCTTCCTGTTGACAAGTTTGGTAGAAGTCCTGTAAACCTAGATGCTGCTGCCTTCTTGTTATGGTTCGATTATGATCTAGCTTGGCTGCAAAATGTAAGTCATCAATCAGCATGATGCAATGCAAGTGTGTTTAATATTGAGAAGGTAGAAGGATCTTGAGTGAGTTTTATCTTTTTTGTGTATCAAATTCTGTGGATTCTAGTGAAACATTTAAGAACCTTGGCTAGAGTTGATCGGGAATTAATTCTCGGATGATCGCGAGCATGGAGTGCAAAGACATACCATGAAAAAACTAAGAATTTGTTGTTTTTTTCACACATAATTGTCACAGACCAGTTTTGACATGTTATTTAGATCATCTAATAACTGGCTTCTTTAATTTACCTGAAAATTGTTTATAGAAAGCAGCCAATTTGATGGATTTTGTGATTATGTTTCTATCTTCTTTCATGACAAAAGTAAAATCCTGTTAAGTTATATATATTCGAGTTATTTCATATTCTCAAGTCTATAACGAGCCAATGCTATTCTCTGATTAACTAATTTTCCATGAGCACATTTTACTGGAAAGGTAATATTTAGAACGCTTAATAATTTTGGTCTGAGATGCATATGATGACAGCCAAAGTATTTCAAACAGTAGCGCCTGAAATATATTCCAAATAGATGGTGTTATATAATTGCAGTGACATGAGCGTGACAGAAAGAGGTTTCACATTGGTTGATTCAGCAATCAATTATGTCAATTGGATTTGACATATTTAATTAACCTAGACTTGTATATAGGTCCGGTTCAATGGTTGGACATATTTAATTAACCTAGACTTGTATTTAGGGGCGGTTCAATGGCCTAGTTAGAGTTTTGACGTGACTTGAGTTCTAATTGGAGTTGGTTGTATGTCTTAAAGAAGTCTTGAAAAGTCAAAAGACATAAGCAAAGAGAAGAAATCGCGTAAAAGGCCATTCATTGGTTGCCTTTGGACCGCTCGAGCGGGTTTTGTGGTGCGCAGACTACTTGCTAGCCACTTGGCGACTGCTCGAGCGGTTGTCTTATATGAGAAATCCTAGTTCGCAGATTTTGGTAATTTTTTCTCTTCTAAACAACCTCACACTCCATTATTTGTTAGGTCTGTTATATTATGACTCGACCATATGTTAGACTCTTCTTTGTATTATATATAAGAATAATTACATCTCTTGAGATCATCCAACTTTTGTAATCATCAGTTGATATAGTGAATTTTCTCCTCATATGTCCATGACTTTTTTTCGTCTTGGGTTTCCTTCTAAATCTTGTGTTCTTGTTCTTAATTCTTATATTGTCAATTCTCATTTTTCACAACAAACCGGTATCAGAACGAGGTTTGATTATTTTTTTTAATGGCAACTATGAAATTTGATATTCAGTTTTTGGATCGCAACACTAAATTTTTGGTATAGCAAGTAAAGATGAGGGCAATCCTCGCACATATGAACTCGGATGATACCTTGTTAGGGTTTCATAAGATGCATTCAACGTGGACGTAGGAATATTAAAAGGCCTTATCTCAAATTTATCTTCATCTATCAAATCAAATTCTTCGAGACGTTCTAAAAGATAAATTCATCATTGCATTATGGTTAAAATTGGAGTAGTTATGCATGACAAAAAGTCTAACCACTAAATTGCATCTGAAACAGGGGTTGTATTCTCATCGTATGGCGGAAGCTCTTCTATAGAAGATCACCTAACTATCTTTAAAAAAAAATTGTCGTTGATTTGAAGACCCTAGAGGTCAAGTATGATAAAGAAAGTTTAAGGTTGATTTTGTTGTATTTGTTGTCTTCTTCATATATATCGTTCAGAGACTATTTTGTATAGTCATGATACTCTCACCATAGATGAAGTATATAGTGTTCTGTTTTCAGAAAAGAAGATGAAGTAGCTTGTGTTTGGATCTGAGGTTCAGGCAGATGGCCTTGTTGTTCCTGGTTGTTATGTGAAGGACAAATCGAAATTTAATTACAGTGATAAAATCTGTAATTATTGCAAGAAGCTCATCAAATTTGACTGTTATAAATTGCAGAATAAGGATAAAAGAGCATCTGAAAATTAGAAGGGAAAATAACCAAAAAATTCAGGTGAAGCCAGTATTGTAGAAGATTTCTATAGTGATGGAGATCTTCTAGCTATTTCTGACGGCAACTCCAATCCTTGTGAGGATTGAATTCTTGATATAGCTTGTACGTTTCATATGTGTCCTAATCAGGATTTGTTTTCAAAATATGAAACAATTTTCAAAGGTGCTATGATCATGGGAAATAATGAGCCTTGTAAGATGGTATTGGAACGATTAGAAATAAGATGTTTGACAAGCTGTCAGGATAATTAGTGATGTGAGGACATACATGTTTCAGATTTGAAAAGAAATTTTATATCTTTGAGTATTCTTAATTCAAAAGGGTACGAGTACACTAGTGAAGGTCTGCATAGTTATATGTCTTGCAGGGTTCTACGAAATCTATTAATACAAATCAGCAAAAATTAAACACATAGGTGAAGTTTGAGTTTGGGTCAGGGTCTTTACTAGAGTGTACACACTAGTCTAGTTAGAAGTTAAGAGTAATATTGATTTGCCACCACCATCAGCGGTACCATAGTATTCTATTGCTAAAGACAGACCAAGAAGAGATATTAGACCTCTATAGAGATACGATGAGACTGATTTGGTTGCTTATATTTTGAGTGTGGCCGAAGGTATTAATTCTAGTGAATAACTTTCTACATAGACAGTTAGTTGTGTTGATTCTGATTTTGCTGAAGATTTTGATAAGAAAATATCTCTTTCAATGTATATTTTTACTATTGGTGGTTGTTCTATCAGTTGGAAAGTTGTTCAGTGGTATAAGAGGCTTGATTTATTTATGATTACTCATAACTTCAAGAGAAGTAGTTATGATAGTTGTGTTTACTTTAAGAAGTGTGGTGATGGGTCCTTTTTATATCTACTCTTATATGTTGATATATTGATGATATGTTGATAGTAGACAAGAATAAGTGAGAGATAAAGAAAGGTGTAAATTTAGCACAGTGAAGAATTTGATATTGTTGTGAGCAAAGTTGGTACCCAAGATAATTCTACTGATATGATGACCAAGTCACTCCCTATAATCAAGTTTAAATATTGCTTGAACTTGATTGGTATTATTGTTGAGTTTGCCCTTTGGGGATTTTGTGGAAAAAGTTAGATGATTTTGTTGAAGAGTGAAGTTTTATTCCTTGCATTGAAATTCATGTCAATGCGGAGATTCGTTAGAGTTCGAGTGTGACCCGAATTCTAATGAAAGTTGTTTGTATGTCTTGAAGAAGTCAAAGCCATAAGCAAGGAGAATAAATCTCGTGAAGATTGCTCCCTGGCCACCTTTGGACCACTTGAGTGGGTTTTTAGTGAGCAAACAACTCGCTAACCACTTGACGACTGCTCGAGCGGTCATCTTATATGGAAAACCTTAGTTCGTGGATTTTGGCAAATTTTTTTCTGAACCTCAAACACTCCATTATTTATTAGGCATGTTATATTAGAACTATACCATATGTTAGACTCTTATTTGTATTACTAGTGGGTTGAACATCCGTTGCACATTAGTTTTTTAACGTTTAAAATTAAGTGTATTTAGAAGTGATAGGATGACGTGGATAGAATATTAAGCTATAAATAAGAGGTTGATGGGTAACTTTCAACATTTACTCCCAATTATGATTCCTTGATAATAAAATGAGCAATTTTTAAATATATTTTGAACAATTCTATTTAAACTTGGTCCTATTTTCACTTCCTTCCACCTTCATTTTTTTTTTCTTTTTTTTGGGTAGTGGGTGGGGGTTTGGAGTTTCCTGAAGTCGCACACCACGATTATAGAATTTGTTTTGTTTTTTGAATGGGACAAATGGATATTGGATGACAATTGTATTTTGTCATCTTTATTTTTTCTTAGTTTTCCATTACAAAATCATTGAGAGAACAAAAATTAATGAAGACAATATTGAAACAATCTTGCAACCAATTGGTTTTCTTTAACTTGTTGCAGTGGCTAGACATGTGCAATATTTGCATATCCTTCATGCCTAGATGCTACGATAGAGCCATTTTCATCTAGAAATGATGCATCACAAATTAATCTCCCAAAGAAGTTTGTCTCATTCCAAAGTTCAATTGAAGCTCGTATTTTGACTCATTTTTGTGCATGGCATTCAAGAAGAAATAATAGTTATTATCACATTAGAATTACAAACTATGAAATAAAAAAAAAAGTCTATACATGAAGAGAGAAGTATAGAATATATAGAAATGAATCCTTTTTGTGAAGAGGAATTTTATAACGTTCAGAGAATAACTTGAGCAATTCAAATATGTATACCTAAGTTTTATGTGAAGGTTTAGTGTAACAATGGCAATTTTGAGAAGAAGATTATATATAATTGAGATTTTGGAAGAAAGAAATATCTTCAGACCTAATGTACTGTGTTTATCTCTCAGTTATAAAGATCTCTGCATGTGGCAAAGATATTTTACAATTCAGAGTCAGTAGCTTTATGTACCAAACAGTATGATTGTGAGTGTCTTGTAGCAGAAGAGTACTTCTTGAAATTCAGGAAAGTAAAATAGGAGCTGGCGGATTTTGGCGGATTTAGGTATGGGTTTGGACATTATCTAGTCAGAGCAGTTTCTCATTGCCAGCAATAATATTACAAAGGGATAAGAATCTAATCTATAATCGATTGTAGTTAACATAGTATGAGTGGCCAGTCACACACCCACAACTATGAAGAAATCTACGTCCACAGATCCCTACACCATCACATAATGATATTACAATTATATTAACATTTTGTAATATACAA